CGCCGTCACGATGCCGTCTCTACCGCTCCGCGATGCGCGGTTCAGCTTACGGCCACCTGGCACTCGAATTGCGGTGTAGCGTCAAGCGCGGGCCGGCTGCTTTGGAGCCATCCGTAGTGCGTGGTACTTTCCCTCTGACCACCACGGGCTTCTAACATGTACTTGAGTTCTCTCTGGAGACCGAGATAATTGAAGCTAGGCTAATAAGATGTACTCCTGTGATACTTACTCACAAGAGGGCTTTTCGTGAGCGCAACACTGGGTCTTTCGGCGACGTCTTCTCAACCTGAGAACTGCTACATCACAGTCACTTGGTCCGCGCCTGCTTGAAGCATGCCAACTGACATCTACAGTACCTCTGACACCTGTGGCGAAGGTCGAAGTGCGGCTTCGACGCTTGGCACTTCGTTGAAACAGCGACGTATGAAGACTGTTCTGGTGATCGTACATCGATGCGACACAGCGTAAAGCCACAAAATGTCTTCACGCGGAATCACACCGGGATCCCCGAAATCCCAGATAGATTCGCATAAGATTGAGAGAGGATTCAGTGTCACCCAATCCATAGTGAACCGTTCCGGAATGGAGCATGATACGGGTAAAATTCGTGCGGCGGTGATCACATGCCGGAACAGCACCCCGACGGTATTCTCCCAGGATTTCTCTAGGATTCTTCGGCCCTGTTCAGGCAGCTATTGGGTGCTGGTACGGGGCATCGGTACACCGGCAGCATAGCGATATATTGTTACAAGGATGCGAAAGTATATATTATGCATTGGTGGGTAGGTACACTGTACATTATCTCGAGGCTCATACACGCGAATAATCTACTATATTGAACACCATTACCGCCCTCTCTCCTCTGGCATTACCTCCTCCTCGGCGTACCCGGACCGCAATACCATCATTGAGCAACCTGGAGAAATAGTCAGTGAGCGGGCTATTAGGAGACATGCAATCCAAGACATACCAGTATGAAGCGAGTGCGCTATGGGCGGTAGGCGAGGCGAGGCTCGATTTGGGCGACCAAGCGTGCAAGCGTTCACTACGTGCCGCCGTTAGCGAATCCTCGAGAAGGTCGCAACGACGCAGAGGACAAGACTCACCATACTTCCGGCAACGACACTGTTTACTTCTCCAAGGTGACGACTAGTTCGGCTACCTGACAGGTATCAGTCATCACAATGCAGAGGGTTAACTAGTTCCGGGCCCGTACCAGAGGAGAGGGCCATCATAGTTCAGACATCATTGCAGGTGAAGCGGGCAGATAGGAGGAGGACAGGGAGAGAGGGAAGCGTCGAGGGGTGGTCGTCGTGGCAAGAGGCAAAACCAAGAAGTCGCTTGTACGCCGGCATCGCGCCGCCACACCGACCGCGCCCCACGCCCTCAACATCCTCAACCACGACATCGAATTGTATCTCTCACGAGCTATTCTACCTCGTATTCTTACTGCCGACACAATCTTCGTCGGATCTCACCAGCATTCTTCATCCGACGGGATGCGCTTAGGAAACTGCGCGCAGGATTTGAATCGGCTAGAATTATACTTGAATCCAAAGCGAACTTCGGGAATTGCGTTCAGATCCTTATCAAGACATTTTAGGACTTTACGCTGTGCGATGCACCTCTCTCCTACAACTGCAAATGCTGAACCCATCTTGGTCTTTGCAGTTCTGTTGTTGTTCCCGATCAGCCCGAAGAAGCGGAAGGGGACTGGATGTCACGGCGATCTCTGCTCCGGTCGAGGCGAATCGGGCGGTGCACGTTGGTTGGCTTGACTATACGACGTCGCCCTCAGCGCGCGTCCCACCGGGAAGCTTTCTCGAGACCATACGCAGCTAGAATATACCTGCACAGCATGCTCACGCCTATCAAGGGGCCGCGCTGTTTCAGCACAAGAAGCCTATCTGCTTACCAGATGTAGCGTCCGAGCGAGGAGAGAGACGAGTATAAGGTCTGAAGCGTGCATCCCGCAATGTCCTACTGCCAGCAACGCGATGGCCGCCGACCCGACATACCCACTCTACCCCATTGCTTGTATCCTGGCCTCAACTATGTTATTCCTTGTATTACTAACTAGTTTCATTCGCCAGAGCTGGAATCTCGGTGTCGCGTTCTTGTGCTTTTGGCTCTTATTGGACAATCTAACTCTGGGCATCAATTCCATCATATGGTCGGATAATGCAGACGTCAAGCTGTACGTGTATTGCGATATCGGTGCGCAGGTCTGAAACACGATTACCTCCATATTGATCTGACGTCGGACTGTAGTCTCGCATATGCAACTCATCACTTTCACCGTCAAGCCCATGGCAACCTTGATCCTCACTCGTCGTCTGTATCTCATCACCACTCTACGTCGCGTGGAACTCTCCTGTAAGGCCACGGTACGTCACTGCGCATGTGAGACCGATGCGCTTCGTTCTGAACTTCCGCAATCGTAGGACCGTGCGGTCGAGTGGATACTCGGGTTAGTGATCCCTGTCCTCGTTGCAGGGCCTCTCTGTGAGTTTCACAACGAATGCATCGACACCCGACGTGTACGCTGAGCTCAGCACAAGACTTTGTGGTTCAAGGGCTTCGATTTCAGGTGGACGAGGCAGTCGGATGCAGAAACTCTACCGATGGCACTATACTCAGCATCTTACTCATATCTGCGCCAAGCGTGATACCTCCCCTGATGTCCATCTTCGTGTACTATCGTGCGTCATAGCCACTCAAGGTCGGGTCACACCTCGAGCTGACGTATACCCTCCAGCGCATATCGTTTCAATCTTGTATAGCCACAGTCGGGAGCTTGACGGCTTTCTTCAGAGCAACAACTCGGTCTCGCGCACCAGCTACTTTCGCATTCTGGCTCTGGCAAGCATCGACCTGGTGCTTACGCTGCCTATCGGCATCGTGTCCATCGTCTTGGATGCAATCGAGTCGTCGCAGAATGGGCCCATACCCTTCTATAATGGTTGGACGGACGATCATCAAGACTGGACGCCGAAGAGCTTCCCTTATCCGGAGATCGTGGCCCGAGGACCCTCCACGGTTGCCCTGGTCTACTTCGGCCAGTGGACTTCTCCCGTCCTCGCATTCGTGATATTTGCCCTCTTGGGTGCCACGGAGGAAGCGTGCGCATCATATCGCCGCATTATCTCCTTGTTTGGTGGCCGGTGTGGTTGGGGATGGTCATCACGAATGCGCATCGCACCCTCGCTTCCGAGGAACGTGGAGTCCGGTGAACTGGGTCTTGAGTGCGTTACTTGCCCTTCCGGGAGAGCTCAATTGACGATACGAGACAGAGAGCGCCGAAACTGCATCGATCCCGACATTGGAGTGCTTGATCAGGCCGCTGAGAGCGGGGCTACCAGAAGCGATGTTAAAAGCGGCTCGGATAAGGACGAGCTGCGAGAAGCACCGAGGTATACCAGCAATATGACGTACGTGCCCTTTCAAGATCTCATGTGGCGGATACCGCCTAACGAATCAAACAGTCGGGCAGACGCAGAGCGTCAGGCAGGCTTCGAACATGCCCCGGTAGAAATATAAGTGGCGTCGGATTATCCGCTGGGAGACTTCATGACTGGTGTGCGCGCTCAAGATTGCTCTATCCCCATGTCTTCAACTAGCATGTATTGCACGGCTACCGTATACAGATATAAACGTCAAATATCGTGTCTGAGGCTTCCAGTATCTTCAGGCATCGAAAGATGTATTATGGAAGACTTTGCGTCGAAGGTTTTGATCTACAAGGTAGATCGTCAGCACAGACGTACAAGTCCTCTGAGGTTGAGACAAACAGCCATGTGCCAAAGAAATGAAAAGGACCCACAACGTGAACCTATATCGCGCCCGTTGACGCGTTAACGCCCCATCCCGGCGCTCCTCTCACGAGTTTCTTCATATTCTTTCTGCTATCCCAGGCCCACACTCGTATCGAACATCCAGCTCATCCCCCCAGTATCCTGCCCAGCACGTGGGTGTGTTTGTTCACTGTCTCGTAGGCTCGTTCCTGCTTCGAGTGGAGAGGTGTTCCGCATCGTGTCGTCGGCTGCGGATGGGGGTGAAAGCGGATACGAAGCAGATGTAGCATGTCATGACACTCGAAGGCTACGCCCACGCTGACCGTGACTATGGGTAGTCGTCGTTGAGAGCATGAAGTATGAAGATGGTGGAGGTGAGCAAGTACTTACCGCGCGAGAACGTGCAGTGAGGGTCCGTGCGACTCGCGGGCCCCGATCCTTGTGCCCGTTCTGGGCGGGTTGATTCTCACTTTGCCGCCGACCACCATCACGACGTTTAAAGACATCCCAGTAACCCTGCTATCTGCATGTCCTCAAGTGTGACAGCTATCCTGAGAAGTTCATCGTGCACTGCTTCCCAATCCGCAGCGTGTCTGCCATGGGCTGCCAATGGTTCCAAGATAGAGAATGGATCGTGGCATTCGGCGCCGGTGAAGGGTCGTATTCAACTTTACAATCCTTTTCCCACCTAGTCTCGGTGCGCTCAAAGACGTATCAAGGATCCAAATTCTGCGCATCGCTGGAATGGTGCACTCTCTATTACCGGAAGTCCTGCCGATGTCGCACCGCCATCTACTTGCTTTGCTCATCACGCCTCCTCCAAACAGTGAATCGCCATCTCGCCAAACACTGTAGGCTCGTATCCCTTTCTCTCACGCAAAGGCAGCCTGAGATTGACCTCGCTTCGCGGCATATAATGGGAGGGGTACGAGCTGCAACGGCCGTCAGCACATCTGAGTCCATCGCATGATGGCCGCCGTCGATCCAACATATCCTCTCTATCCCATTGCTAGCATCCTAGCTGCATCAATGCTCCTTCTTGTCCTCTTAACGAGCTTCATACGCCAAAGCTGGAACCTCGGCGTCGCCTTTCTATGCTTTTGGCTCTTTCTTGAAACTCTCACGGCTGGTATCAACGGTATCATATGGTCTAGCAACGCCGAAATCAAGTTGTATGTGTATTGCGACATAGGTCAGTGGACTTCCAACGCTATGATTCTCGAGAAATGCAGCTTCATCTGATATCACATCTTAGTCTCGCGCTTACAGATGGTCGCCTTGATTGTCAAGCCTATGGCGACCTTGATAATCATTCGCCGGCTATACCTCATCGCCAGTCTACGGTCCATCGAGCTTCCTAGTAAGCACGAAGTATGTCACATTGCCTGCGAAGACCTATTCCTCCAAAGCTGATCATGATGCTATACTGACAGAAACGCAAGGATCTCCTGATAGAGTGGACACTTGGTCTGATGATCCCCCTTCTCTTCGCAGGGCCTCTCTGTAGGTTTCATGCATCGACGAATGCTCGCTTAGAACGCTTATTCCTTTGCCAGACTACGTGGTCCAGCAGCTTCGGTTCGAAGTGGACGAAGGTTTTGGATGCACTAACTCTGCCGATGGCTCGCTACTCTCTATATTGCTCATGTATTCAGTGCCTGTGGTCGCCCCCGCAGTGTCTATCGTCGTGTACTATCGTGCGTTGGAGTCACTCATACACTACACTTGTCTTCCTATAACTAATGCGCATGGCTACCAGCACATGTTGCCCGGATCTTCTATCGTCAGGGACGAGATATCGACCACTTCCTCAGGAGCAACGACTCGATCTCCCGCACGAACTACTTCCGCGTCCTCGCCCTTGCCAGTATCGACATCCTTCTTACACTACCCATAGGCATTGCCGCCATCGTCTTGACCGTGAAAGACTCTATGTCTCAGGTTGGTTTCCTCGTTCTCTACTTCGGATGGACACACGACCACAGCAATTGGGGGCCGGAGAGCTTCTCTTACGAAGAGCTAGTCACGTCGAGGCCTTCCGGTGCGGCACAATACTTCTTTATACACTGGACTTCCCCCGTCCTCGCTTTCATCATCTTCGGTTTGTTCGGCATCACATCAGAGGCGCGCGCATCATACTGGCGCGCGATCTATTTCGTTGGCAGTTGGTTCGGCTTGAAGCCGTCTCCTCGAGAGCGCGCGGTGCGTTCGCCCTTGGGGGATATCGAGTTCGGTGAGCGGTCGCCGCGTGTTTCCATGTCGTTGAGGTGCGCAATCTCGCCTTCGTCGAGTGAACGGTGCTTGATAATATGGTTAGATCACAACCGGGCTTCGTCAACATCCCGAGCGCATACACACCGACGCCAGGACATGCCGCCGAGGACGCGGGAGGACGTGGGCTGGGGAAGGCGGACTCAAGCGCCGGCTCAGGTGTTGATCAAAATACAGTAGACGATGCGCTCAGAGTCCCAAGAGCTCCCGATGCAGCCTTCCGGGTCTTGCCGAGAAGGCTCGGCCAACCTTTAGCCATGGTTTAGGGCAGTACTGTATCCTTCGACACCCTTTTGGGATCACCGATGCCCACACTCTTTGGTTCGCTCACTTCAGCGGTAAGATATTCATATATTGCGTCTGCTTGTACATACAGAATGCGGGCGCCGTAGTACATATGATTATACCATAAGCTCTGTACGCTGGACTGGTCATAGGCAACTATGATGACCTAGGAGAACGTCCATCAGTATATGTACGAGTCAGCTTAGGCTACGATTGCATACCCATAGATACCCATCCTGCTCCGCCTATACGGCCAGAACACGGTCTCCTTCTCCTCATCAGTCCTTCAATCCTACCACATCCGCAGCCGCACTGTCCGTAATTCTCATGTCCATGCCTAGCTCGCTCGAGTGTTCTCCTGCTCGCAGCCTGAGCCGCTCTAGCTTTGCAGGATACGTGAGTCGCCAAGAGGCTCACTTCATCGCCCAACATCCTTGCTGCCCCGAAGAAAGTGGCGAAGACGACAAAGGGATGGGCAGATTCCAATATGCGCTCTCGTCTCTCAAGTGCCACGCGCTGAAGTGTACGTCCAGTTTTATCTGGTCGGCCTACGTATCATGTGCAGATGCGGCGCGAACGTCATCCTCATGCTCAGTCGTGCCCATCGTTTGCCTGCAGTTCCAACCGTTGAGCCGCATACTTCTCGATATCATCATGTACACCGCACCTTATCTTCCACCTTCGCGACCACGCCAGACTCCTCTACATCCAGACCGCGCGTGATACTCGTCTTCTTGACGACCCAGAGCCGTGTGGGTGGATGGGGAGGTTCAACATCGTGCGTGCGGCTGTCCCGCGCGGCATGCATACACCGCAATTCGAGTGCCAGGTGGCCGTAAGCTGAACCGCGCATCGCGGAGCGGTAGAGACGGCATCGTGACGGCGCGTGCGGGCAGCTGGTTCTCACGAATCTCAGGACATATCACCACCCTGGCACCAGTCGCAGCTGGCATCGACCTGGAGGCGCGACCTGGCTCATAGCTGGCGGACTTGGCGATGGCGGCATGTGGGCGTAGAAGGGTTGGGCATATACGTGCTGCACGAGTCAACATGGTCGATTCTGTAAGCCCCAAAGGGGACATCGCGTGTTGGCCAGCTGGTGAGATGGCTGCGAAATCGGTACACAGACAGGTTGCTTCGGGATAATTGTAGACAGTATATGGGACTTCTGCTACGTATGTCTACCAGATGTAGACCGATATGCTTGTAAAGCGACGAATCCTCGGGAATCCAGACAGTGGCACAGATTAGATTCAGCTACCAGTTCATGTCGTTGTTACCGGAATTGACGAACAGATAGCGCACAGAATGGCATATTGCATCGGGCATGAGATCATAGATGACAACAGGTGCCATTTCAGCGGTAATATACAGAAAGCGAATAAATACGAATGGCACAGCCCCCCAACTACTCCTCATCCTCCCCATCCATCGCATCGGCCACTAGCTGCTGACGTTCACACGCGACATCGTCCTCGGGCAAGGAGTGCTCCCCGGCAGCATTCTGACCATGCTCCTTGAGATCCTTCGTGAGTATCTTTCGATAGAGCCTGTATACAGGCCGGGTAAGCGCCATCACACCGAAACTATAGTGACCAGGACGAACTTAGCAATACGCGCGGGGTCGCCATTCGACTTTGCCAGGAGTTCGGAGATCTGCTTGTCGACAGCAAGCCAAAAGTCAGAAGCAGAGCGGTGCCGGTAAACATAGCGCTGTAAGACGGTCAGGGATACACGGTCGTAAGCAGCAAGTAGATGGACATACCATGAGGGCCACACGACAAGTAAGGGGGACCGTAGCCTTCACATCGGCCTTGTCCGCAATGTGTATCGTGAGCTTGAAAGCGTCCACATGGTCGATGCTGTCCTTTGCGGACATACTAGCCCTGAGCTGGAGCGAAATAGATCAGTGAGAGCTCGTCACAGATAGATACAAAAGTGTGACTTACCGCTTTTTTGATCATCGAGCGGAACTGAGTCAAGGCGTCCAAGATGACAGCCTTCACCTTGTCCAAATCGGCGGGAACAAGCCAGATACCGGTGTACAGACCCGACAGATTCATGCCCTTCACGATTTTCTACACAAGTTGTCAACACGACGTCAGCACATATCACAAGACGAACATACAAGAACGATGTTCAGCGCGGTATCGTCGCGATAAGACGAAAGCTTGGACGAAAAGGCGACCGCGTGAGTGAAGCGCTTCAAGTTCAGCTTTCATATTATTAGTACGACAAAGCTAATACAGATGCGCACAACGCACCTCAAGATCCGGGGATACTTCCCACGGAGGTTGAATGGCCTTGAATGCTGCGATGGCCTGCAAAGCCTCTTGGCCCTGCACGTACAAATCAACGAGCTTGCAAGCGTTCGGTTCCTGTAGAGCGTCAGTGAGAAGTCATGAAGGATGAAGATATATACGAAGTACTGACCATAACGAAGCGCATCACGGCCTTGGACCGTTCGGTGTTGAGACGACGGGCCTTGGCCTGGCGACGTGCATAGACTGCGATGTTGCCATCGGTAGCAACAGGAGCAGACGACAATGACCCGTCTTCATCATTCCGAGGGTCGTCGTTGTCGTCGTCGTCGTCGGAACGCGGCCGTTTCCCAAGAGCGGAAGCTGGAGTGTCGTCGTCGAGGTCCGAGTCAGGTTCGTCCAGCATCGCGTCAAGGTTGAGGTCGCCGAAGAGAGAATCATTAGGCGGAGGAGAGGGGGACGGAGACGCGGCGGCAGTACCAGCAGACATAACGTAGAGAAAAAAACGGGTTTGAACGATAGACGAGAAGGAGAAGAGGCGGAGGCGGAGAAGATGGGTGAAAAGAAGACGAAAGGCGACGTGGGGGAAAGAAAAAGAGGCGACGAAACTGCCGGTCAAGTTTACGGGAGCAGGGTTTATATATGGCCGCCCGGTTCGCGTAAGCCACACACGAGGCGGTGCCGATGTCGCTCATGAAATAACATGAGAGAACGTGAGTGCCTGTGCGCGGTGCGATTGACGCGGTGCGCGCGCGTTTCGCGTCGCGCGTGACCGTGTCCGAGTTGGTTTGATTCACGCGCGCCGCGCGCACACTGCTGTCTCTTGCTCCTGCCCGCGACGTTCACGGTCCTCGGCTCCAGCAAACTACGGGCTCTCCAGATATGAGGGCACGCCTCGCAAGATCAACATCTACCACTGCTAGAACGTAGGGATGTCGGAGTCGCGAATGACTGGGTGTGTGCTCGCAGTGTGGTACCGACATCTCGATTGTCCACCATCGTGCACAAAGCCTAGCTCTAGCGCCGATCACCTTCGGCGTCAAGGCCACTTTCTCATCGTCTCTCCCATCGTTGCCATGTACGGCCCGAAGCCGAGTGCTGCCGGTGCCTCCTCTCCTTGCTGCGTCGCATATGCGTGCTATGAGTTTTGATGCGAAACGCGACACCGCGGCTTTTCGGGCGCCCGTACCTCGCTCCGCGCTGTGGATTGTATTCTGAACTTGATGACGATAGGGCGCTACCCTCTGCCGATGGCCGAGTCGGGAGAGAGCCTGTCGCAGTTGGTCGGCTCGGCACATATCCTCCTTCTCGTCCTGCGATGGACGGGAGCTGACAACTGTCCTCCTCGAGTGATGTTCCGCCATCTCCGCCGTCACCGAGCTCGACCGAGTTGCCTGCTAACTCTACAATCTTTTGGCAATGGCCAGAAGTATAAGTACAGGGCTCTCGGGAGCGAACTGAGTCGTCACAAGCCCCCTTTCTCAGTGTTTGCCTTCATCTCTAACTTATCTTCTCTTGTCCTTCGCCTTATCTCCCTTATTTTTGCTCTCGCCATGACTGCATTTGGATTGAACTTATTCCCCTTTGGCTATGTCGGGTTCCTTGAACCTCAGTCTCCATTGATAACACGTCTGTACTCATATGTTCTGACCAACTTCGCCTCTTACTGAAACACTTCTTTAGACCCCCGGCTTACCAACCCCCGGAGACTGCCATACGTCTATGAACCTATCGAGCTGGATCGTTTCGACATGATCGACATATTATCCACCATCAACCTCGTCGGGTCCGAATCGATCGCGTCTGTGGCCCCTGTCGTGGCGCGCCAGCTCGTTGTGAGTAATTTGATCCCAGAAGCAACTTCTCCAACTTACTCCGCCGGGTTTCCACAGCATGACAACCAGCGCTATCTCACGACCTGGGATAATTCGATACGGCGAGCCGACAGGCTTGAGGTTTGGGACCGTATTTACCCCGGCTACTTTCCTTACTGCTACACGGCTCAGTTCACCTGCCTCGTCCGTGTATCGTGTGCGCAGAATCTTGCCGCACTTGCACTCTCGTATGCGGTTGCACGCATCATTGACGAGTCCGTCTTCATGTGCGACCTTTTGGGTGTCGGCGAGTCGCTCTTTAAACCCGAGGCCGTCGGCTTTGCACATTTCATTCAGGGCACCGAGCACTACGCGCTGGTGCTCTTTGATGGCACTGCATGTCGCGCCTTCGAAGATGTCGTCCGCTCGAGTCCCAGTGCCATTGCCGGCTCAGACCTCGGAGAACTCGTCCGGTCCCAGCCATCGCGCCTTGCCGCACAGTTCTGTGGCAATGATGAGCGCTACAACGAGATTATCGATATGTACAAGTGCGTATTTGGCTTGATGGCTATCATATGATTACTCACTACCTGAATAGCTACCTCACAGCGCCGTTGTGGCCTCCCCGGTTGGATGAGTATCTTGACACGAGCGATTCGGAGTCGGAGGACTAGTGCTTCGGATTTATAATGTACAATCAATTTTATTGTACTGTCCGTTGTCAATACTGCACTCCGTCTATACATCCAAAGTCCCAATTTTTTTCACTTGACAGATGTGATTACGAGGCTTGAACATTGTGTGCACCGCGAGCTCGTTGTTGAACGACGCGTCGTCAACGATTCCAGAAGCAGGAATTCTCGCGCAGATGCCATCACGCGATGCCATCACGCGATGACGCGCGCGCTCCTCGCGCGCGCGCGGGCTCAACCTCTTCACCTTGTTCCGCCACCGCGTCCATGGCGGTCTTCGGTTCATCACCTCAATTGGATATGCGTTCATGGAATTGCCATGCTGCAGTGTGAATGGCCTGGATGTGCACGAGCCCTGGCAATCTGGTTTCCGTCACGCAATTGCTGCGAGCGACTTTTGTCGTGCTGTCGAGTAAATCCGTATCCTCTACCGGCTACGACTAGGGTATAGGTCTACTGAACAACAAAGAGTAGCCCCCAGTGCTATCGGACGGACGGCAGTCTAAGCCGATATTCAGGCTCCGAACGACTACGCCCGCCCTGAATATTTCGCATCAGTGCGGTGTCGGGCGCACCCATGCGCGCCGCTCGATCGTGAGCCTCTCTTTTGCCCACTTCACCATTCTTGCCATCCATCGGAGATCCTCGCATGCCGCGTACCACATCCAAGCCTCTCCCAGATTGTGAGTCTGGTTAGCTTAGAGATGGCACCGTAGCTCATATTGTATAGATCTCACTTCAGGCGAAGTGGATGGAAAGGATGCCTGGCGGTGCGCTCTACCTGGCTGCGGCAGTGATTGGATGAGCCGGAAGAGCATCTGGCAGCATATTGACAACAACAAGACTCATATTGCGCGACTCGCGGCCGCTGAACGGTCGCAAACGCGCAGATCGGGCCTCTCAATCTCTCAGCAGAATAACGACGATATCTTTGACGATGGACCTGCCCTGCTTCCATCTGCTCATCCTGATGCGCCCATGGATGTAGACGATCTAGACGAAGAGGCCTCTGCGGATGACATCCTTTGTCGATGCTTCAACCTGAATGGCTTTGATTTCTTGATGGAGACGAAGGCGGATGCGAAGAACAAGGAGAGAGCCGCGCTTGCTGAATCATTCAAAACCTTCGCTTTATTCGATCCAGCACAGGCAGCGTCATCATTGGGTGCAGATGGGTTTTCTACCGCTCCATCGGATCGCTGGGAAGAAGAGGATACATTGACAAACATTCTTCGCGAGCACAGCATCAGTTGGTGTCCAACCTACCCTGTTTGTTTGACTCTATTGACATCGTTTGTGAAGGTCTGGACGGTAAACTGGATGGCGATGATATACAGCGAATGGCATATGGACACCAAAATACGGTGTCGTCGGACCCAGGTTGGAAACCTTATTCATCCAAGCTCGTATGTATATGCACCATGATTATAGGATCACGTTGACGGGCTTGGTTCACCAGATCTTTCTCTTGGACGTATTCGATAACCTGCCGCGTAACCCCGTATCGGATTCCTTGTTGCGTGTCCTTCTATGGATGCTAGAAGAGTTGAATGTTGACGGTGTTCCGTCTCTGTATGCGTTTCGGAAGGAGCAGCGCGAGTTACGCGACCGTTCTGGTGTGCCTACGTTGCGGTTCAAGTCTGTTCATGGCAACTATTACTTCAGTAACGACATACGTGCAATCATTGCCAATGTATGTCCCACTCCTGGAGTCTAAGCTTGATGCTCAGCTGTCATTAGGACTACACTTGCCGCCTAACTCGACAGCAACTTCACTTCTATCCCGAGATTCCTGACGGGCCGATCTCGGAGGTTTGGCATGCAGAGAAGTGGCGCCACGATATGGACGTCTCGACACTGACCCCGATGTATATTGCTGACCGCGCTACACACTACTACGTTCGGGAACTTGCACAAGACAAGTCAGGTGCATTCTATGTGCCTGTGCGTTGGGTCATGCAGCACGGGGAGATGTATGCAGATGCCTGGCGGGTGGAGATCAGTCAGGTGGGTACTCCCTGACATCATTGACCTGGCAAATCCTCACCGGTGCCATGGAGACAAGTGGCCATGCTCGCATCCTATCCGATCCAAGGCATGATCTGGCCTTCATACGGGCAGATAGCCTGCGTCGGAACTTCCTGGCATTGAAAGAAGATGGCCTACTTCCCCAATTTAGCAGTCAGTACTTGTTTGTGCGATTCACTTCACACCCTAAACGTACTCGCAGAGAAATCCCGTGAACTCGAGAAGAAGATGCCAAATCCTTTACGTGCTCTCGCCGACGGTGACCCTCTGTACTCCAGTTTCGTGGATCTGCATCCCGACGACGTCTCTGGCAATCGGTCAAAATCCTGGAACAAACACATCAATGTATACATGACTCATCGGAATCTTCCCCGCTCGACCGTCCACCAGGAGTTCCACCATCACTTTGTCTCGACGTCGCAACATGCGAGCGCGCTCGAGCAACTAGATGCAGTCAAGACCATGATCGAGTATGCTTCTGAACTTCCACTCCCAGGCCCTCTCAGGAGCTAAAGATCTGAACAGCTCTACGCACAGCAAACCCGTTCAAGTACGCGATGCAACGACAGGTGAATCGGCCAAGTTTCGTATCTTCGCCCATGCAGAGCTCGCCGACAATCCGATGCAGGACGAACTGTCCTGCCATATGTGCGGGAACGCGTCTCACAACTGTCGCAAGTGCATGTCAGGTGGCACACACGCAGAGAAGATGACGGATGATGGCTATCATGCCTTGTTCTCGGTATGTGTTCGGCTCGGGTGTGCTACAGTGTTTACATCTGAACCACTGGAACAGCCCTCGGCAGCGGAATCGCGCAGCAGCTTCGAAACGCGCCTCGAAGTTCTCAGGCAACTCAACCTTGCATGTACGGGTGTCAGTGATCATGTCGAGCGCCGGCAGACCATGACAGGCGTGAACGACTCCTATGCCCAGCCGTGGATCGACAAGCTAATTGAGCGCGCGCGCGCTCTTCGTGCGGGTAAGGTGGAGGGAAAGCCTAAGATGACGATTGCGCAGGCAAGTGCGGAACTCTGGAACTCCGTCGTCCTGCCGAATCAAGATAAGATCTTCAATCCCAACCTGCGGATGATCGGTGCGCTGGCTCGACACAATCCCGTGTACTTCCGAAGCTCATGGTTGGTGAAATACTCACATAAGGCCTCAACATCCATCAGGACACACCCGTCGAGATCTTGCATTCGATCTTACTCGGGATCATCAAGTATATCTGGCGCCATTCGCTGAGCTTGTGGAACGATAAGATCAAAGCTACGTTTGTGCTTCGACTCCAATCGACCGATATCCTAGGCTTGTCGGTGCCTCCAATCAGAGCGGGGTATCTCACGCAGTATGGTCGGTCGTTGGTAGGGCGTCAGCTCAAGACGGTCGGGCAGACTGTTGTGTTCCATATCCACGACATCGTTGATAAGGAGGTGTTCGATGTGTGGAAAGCGGTCGGCGAGTTGACGGCATTGTTATGGCTCCCGGAGATTGACGACATGAAAGAGTACACGGTGAGTGGCCCGCTACAGAGGATTGACCCTTGTCGCTCACTCGCCGTGTATCCAGCACGATCTCGAGATCGCTGTTGCCAACGTCATCGACGCCTTCTGTATCATCGACCCAGGAAAGATCATCTGGAAGATCAAACTACATCTTATCACGCACAGTCCAGATGACGCCCGGCGCTTCGGACCTCTCGTCGGCTTGAGCACGGAGGTGTCGGAATGCTTCAATGCTGTCTTCCGGGCTTGCTCTATCTACTCCAATCATCACGCTCCCAGCCGTGACATCGCGCTTCAGCTTGCTGCACAAGAGGGACTTAAACATCGCTTGATCGGAGGCTGGTGGCTCGCCGAAGATGGCGAAACCTGGGTACAGTCTGGATCGGGCATACGCGGATTCTTCGAGAAGCATCCTCAACTCCAATTGCACATGGGTTGGTCGGTCGCGAAGCCGCCCGTTCCAGGTAGGTGGAATTGATGACTATAGTCAGGGTTTGCTCGTATTGAATCAATATCAAACACAGGGACTGCCCGGTTGGCACCCGTTCAAGAGAGGCAGCCGCGATCTTGGTCGGCGACCCTAGCTGCCACCACTATCAACGCAGCAGATTATGCTTCGCAGAGCGCTGGCGAGTGGACCGCATGCACATCCTTCATTGCTGCATCCGGCGATACTTGCCGCAAAGCCTCCTGGGTTGCGGCCGATTCTCCCACAGTCAGTATCACAGACTCCGTGCTTCTCGAGCAGAGATCTGACCATCTGTAGGAACCCGGCAAGACCATTTTCGGACGCGTGATTGAGATCATAGTCTCGACTGAAAGTGCCAACGTGCTTTGCGTATTGGACGTCTTTCAGCAATCAAAGGATAGGCACCCGATGTACTCGATGCCCGTGCTACGAAGACCACTCGGCGAAGAGCACCGAGTAGTTCTGAAGCCGACTGTAAGCACAGTCTTGATTTATTGACCCGCACCATTGACCCAGTATGCCCTCAGAGCATCCATTTTGACTTTAATACACAGCACGACTGCCTCGCCGCAAAATGCAGTGCCACGGGAGAACGCAGAACGACTCAGGAACGTATACAGACCGATAACATCGAGGTGTTCATTGTGCACGCTGCCTTAGACGTGTACATCGTAAACCTGCATGCTCTGCATAACGCACACCGTCTGCGGCGCGTTTTCGACCGCCAGTTGACTGCACCGATAGCTAGCTCGCTGACTGCAGAAGCTCGCCGTAAGCTGCACGATTCGCTGGCAGAAAAACTTCGTGGTTCGGCTGCTGCCTCCAAGGCTGCTCGCGAAGCAGAAAAGGAGGCTTCTGCACTCAATACCCAAGGACAATCTTTACCGAAGCGGAAACGGATAGATAGTCGTAAGTGCCGGCGAAATCAGCTACAATGATGCACAGATCTAACGTGTATTCTAGCCACAGGCGAGCATGGCGCCAGCGAATTTGTGACAGGCGACCGAGAGGAATCGGGCGAGGAGGTAGCTGCGCGAGTGTCTCGCTCTTCTGGTTTGACCCCTTCTATGGGAACGATCAAGCTGCCGAGCCGTGCTTCGCTCCAGCAAAGAGAAGCAGCTGCGGCCGGCGGCGCGTAGGGTGGACTAGGTCGTATGCTCAATTATCCCACTTGTTTGGTTGTAGTGCCATGTTCTGTGTCTATATATGGGATTCAGCCCTGCGGGTACACGCGTGGTACACGATATTTAGTTGCGAGCGCTCGCGGGCACGCAAACAACGGTGGTTCATGACAAGACGCGTCACGACGCGTGATCGCGTTTTATCGCAGCACGGCCCTCGGGCCGCGCTACCGCGTCTCCTGTATACGGCCTCGACTCCCAGCTGTCTTCCAGACGTCTCCAGCAGTACACCGTGTGCTGCCATAACGCCCTGAGCTGCACTAGACAGCGTGACGGCACCCGCACACACGGTCCTCCCCAGCTGGAGAAATACGTGAGGTCAAGCTGTGCCCTTCGGCTCAGCGTCAGATTTCGCCCGAATTGCGGTGTATATAGAGCGATGCGCTAGGTTGAAGCACAGCTAACGCGAACAGAGTCGCAGTTTGCGTCGAAGGCTGCCAGAATGCGAAAGATACGATGAAGGTAGTCGGTAGGCGCTAATATCAGAAGGGAAGACCGCCATGGTGGTCTCTAGTCTCCCCTAGGCAGACTCAGCGTCGCAGGACTAGTGGTCTCGGGATGATGTGGAGGGTGCGTTCTCGCAAGGCCAAGCGCGCAGATTACGGCCCGACTGCCGGAATTGACGCGGCTCATGGACGATTCCTTTCTCTGGCAACGACCACCATGGAGCAACAGGGGGGGGCAGTTCTGAATCGTTGAGTCATCTAGCTCGAAAAGGCCCCACGCACTTGCGGGTGTACTCAGGTGTACTCCCTTGCGTATCCTGTTGGGCTTTCGCAAAGCCTTGAACCGCTCACCGCTCGTATACTGTGCCCAACGTGCACTACTCAGCGTGAACGGACCGCCTTCAACCAATTGAAGTCACAGCCCTTGCGATGACACCCTCTATCGCCACTACTGTGTGTCTCCTGGGCACGGAAGCCTCTATATCTGCGGAACAAAACGCGCCCACCGCGGTATCATCCTTCCCATCTGCTTCAGATTTGCTATTCCCCGCCACCAAGTCCGCTCCTATGTCCAACGCCTAAATACATCATCCTCGTGTAGACCTCGCGGCATAGCTGACAGACCGTTCAGGATGTGGACTTCATTGACCTCGTGAACTCTGCGTATACTGCCCGTCTCTTGGCGATCGTCGGTGCCTTCGACTACTTATGCTGAGTGTCATTGAAGGCCTTCTTTGGACACATAGCGCGCAGGTCTTATCCGTCTCATCCATATTTCAAGGGGTGATAAGGGAAAACATGTCCACGGAACTCCGGTTCCACCGGTGAAGTAGCCCGTGCGAGATTTACAGGTCCGGCCGCTCACTCAGACACCATCGATTTCCGGTCTCATCGCAAGAATGTCTACATGCTGGTGAGAATCACCGTCTGACGCTGTGCTTGTTCAAGAACAGGTTGATTGCGCCCGGAGATCTCTACGATCCCTTGCTCGTGTCCCTGCTGGCTATTGTGCATGCATATGAAAGGCACCAGCATCGGAGGTATCAAGTCCTCAAACCACATCCTTCATCTTCAATGATACCCGCTTTTCATTGCTATGGCTGACATAGCGAAGAAACAGGGACGCGGTTCCGTGCTTGGACCTCACAGAGTACGACAAGTCGCATATAAGATTGCGCTCTCCAAATCCGTGCGCCGCACGTCAGCGCGCTGTGACTTGTACGATGCCTGCCGTCGATCCGACGTACCCATTATTTCCTATCGCATGCAGCATTGCTTCAGCAATGATGCTTCTAGTGCTACTGACCAGCTTCATCCGCCAGAGCTGGAACCTTGGCGTAACCTTCTTGTGCTTCTGGCTTTTCTTCGAGGATTTGACCAACGCCATAAACGCCATCGTATGGTCTGATAACACCGACATCAAGTTTTACGTGTATTGCGATATTGGTGAGTAGGCTTTCAGACGGCTATTTATTCACATCTGCACGTCTGACGACAAGTAATACCAGTCTCGCACCTACAACTCGCGATCTCCATTGTCAAGCCCGCAGCAACATTGATCATCACCCGCCGACTACATCTCATCAGCAGCTTACAGCCTGTTCCGCCCAGCAAAGCGGCGGTACGAAGTTTTGTCCGCATACCTATCCATCTAGCCGATGCTGACCCGCATCTTCAGAGATACAGAAATCTTGCGATAGAGTGGACTCTCGGCCTTGTGATCCCTCTTCTCGTCGGTGGACCTTTATGTGAATCTTACCGATGACTTATAATTGAAGATCTCCCTGACTTCTTCCAGATTACATAGTCCAATGGCCTAGGTTCCAGGTTTACGAGGGATTTGGTTGCAGCAACTCCCTTGATGGTTCGATACTCAGCATGCTGCTTATATACTCCTGGACCGTGACTTTTCCTTTGGTCTCTATCACCGTGTATTATCGTGCGTTGCAAGACTCGACGCCATCATCCTACACCAATACTGACGCAACGTGTACGTCCCAGCTCGTGTTGTCCGAACATTCTATCGCCAAAATCGGGAAATCAAACGCTTTCTACAGAGTGACAACTCGTTGCGGCCTCAGGGCACAAATCATTTTCGAATCCTTCCTCTGGCAAGCATCGACATTCAGTAGTGGGCGGCCGGGTTTATCAAACCCAGTAACAACTATAAGGCCCGATTAGAAAATCGGCATGCCATCACCGGGCATCAATCGCCGGCGCGCCAGTGTTCGATCACGCGCGAGCTTGAGCGCTGAGTGCTAAGTCCACACCCTCGTGGGCGTGAAGTGCCGCATTGGGCCTAGAGTGAATACGTCCTAAACCCTATAGTACCTGTGTTAGTAGATATGATTAAAGGCGATCCCAATGCAACAG